GACCCGGTTTGGTGTTTCCACCGCAAAAACGCTCGCCCCAACCCGATTCTGACCCGACTCTAGCCCGACTCTGACCCTCGGTGGAAACTATAGTCAGCGAGAGGTGGAGCGGCGCGCCGAAAAAAGTTGTCACGCAGCGAGCGGCGAGCTTTTTTGACAACTGTTTTCGGCGCGCCGCTCCACCTCTCGCTATTAGATGATGCCCCACTGTTGCCTGCCGAGTCCGGCCTGCCGCCTCCCAGTCAGAAATGACTTGAAAACCGACGTCGAAACGATATCGAATCGATGCATTTTTGCTTCCATTTTCGAGCCAAGTCGAAAATGGAACCAAAAATGCATCGATTCGATATCGTTTCGACGTCGGTTTTCAAGTCATTTCTGACTGGGCTTCTACGCTCTCATTTGCTCAGACATTAAAATTAATTTCTCGATAACTACTGCGAATTTTGCAAAATAGTATAGGACTTTTCTATTCAGTTTGCCACGGTCTATCTACCATCTACGGGACATACGGGTATTAGGACACACCCTGTATAAATGGCGGCGATTCGCCCTGAACTGAAGGAATTCTACGCTCGCCGGCATTGCAATTGCGGTCGGGCCTTTCCGAAACCCAGAAATGAGAAGTGCTGTCGAACCGACGTCGATCGGCGAATTTATTTCTCACTGCCCAGCGAGAACATTAATGGGCGTCAATGGGGTCGAAACGCGCGTCCCGATCGTCCAGTTTTCAAAAATAATTAAAAGTCTCGGAACTTTAAGCAAAACTAACGACTCCGATAATAATATTCAATGCGAGAAAGGGCAATGAGAGTCGAATATTAAGAAAGGACAAGAAATAAATGTATAAAGTTAATGCAATCCCAGTGAGAAACGACGTCGATCGACGAATCATTTCTCACTGGGATAAGAGAACGGTGGAACGCGCGTATTAAATTATTATGAGACGAGGGATACATGCAAATAAATTATTAATAAATTTGGATTCTAAAAACGAACGTGTCGAGCCCTGTTTTTGGGTTATCTTCAGCGTGTTTAGAACTTTATTTTCTGACGTTAGTGAAAATTTTTGAACACCACTCGCCAAATTGTGGCTGTAATTTCATTTGACAAACTCCGTAACAAGGTAGACCGGCAATCTTTCTGCGATACTGTACAATTCGTTTGTACTTCTCACGTAAATTGTATGTAAAACATTTACTCCTAGATCTCGCTTGAAAAGGACCTAAACCGAAGGTCGAAACGCTGTGAAGACGTATTCAAAAAATGCCTTGGTGAAATAGAATTTGGAGCGTAAATCGAATGTAAGGGGAGAGTGACAGAAGCGCAAACGAAATGTGTAGGGAGCGTAATTCGGGACAGCAAAGCGTAAAAGAAGCGTTGAAGCTTCGCTGTTCCAAATTACGCTTCCCACACTTTCGTTTACGCTTCTATCACTCTCTCCTTACATTCGATTTACCCTCCAATTTTTATTTTCACCAGGGTGTGGCCAGCTGAGGTCGATTAAAATTTGACATTTTTTTTTCATATCAATGCTGGCAATCTGATGAAATGTACCACTTAATTTTTTTGTCAAATTAATAAAATTCGCTCAAATGTGATAAACACAAATTTGAAGGAATAAAGGACTAATAAAGAAACTTTATTTTTCGTATCAAATAAGTCAACTTAGCAGCTCTGTCCAATAAGTTATCAAAAATATCCCGAGCGTTTGAACGTAGTAATTTAATGCGAAGAATAAAGTTTCAAAACTGAATTATCGTCGATAACTGACGGTTGGGACGCGGTTGCGAGCCCATCGGCGTCGATTCGACGTTCTCACTGGGTGGGTTCTGCGCGCAATTAAAGATTTCAACGGCGAGTTGGCCGCTTAACGTGACACGATCGACGTAGAATAGGACGCGGCGTTTCGGCGCGGTCTTCGGTACGAAAATAGCGCTCGGCTATCGCGCTACTTAACGACGCCTTCGGCGTTAATCGCGCCGGCACGTCGTCTCTTTTTTTCCGCTCAGGGTCACCATAGGCTGCCCGTGTCCCGTGTCTCGTATGAAAACGCACGGCACGGTCTAACGGGACGGCGCGAGGTAGTGGAAATGAGTCATTCGTTACTGCTCGCCGCATTCGCCGCGACCCGTCGCCTATAACTGAGCAAACAAGTCGCGATCGCGCCGCGACGAGGACGCCGACTGCCTCGCAATCGTCGCGAATATCGATATAGTAACGTCGTACAAAGAGATTTCCGTTTCTCTCTCTCACCCTCTCTCTCTCTCCCTTTTCCTCGGCACTTCCGGCGCGTCGAGTTTTCGCCGAAATTTCGCAAACGCGTCTCGGAGCATCCCCGCGCTCACCGCGCTCGTTAACGAACCGAAGTGTCCCCGGGTGCGATATATCGTTCGCGCGTGCTACTTTTCAAAATTTCACCTGCGCGAGAGAAACCGACACGATCGGGCCAGCCGAACGAAACGTTCCACGACGAGTAAAGTAGTAATCGAGCAATTACGTTGGCTCGCGGTGCTTCCGCGGCTTCGTGGATTAACGCGTCGCGCCGGCCGCGTAAGCGGCGCGAATCGCTGGCGAAAACGGCGGAATCGAGACTCGGCGGACATTTCCGCGCCGCGGGGCGATACAGCGAGGCCAGAAACGTGTTCAATCGTGTCTACGCGAATAAATGACGAGAGTGTTGAATTCCGCAGATATCCCGCGCCGCCGTCGCGCACCCCACGCCCGCCGGTGGGCACCGAGCCCGCCGCGCACGAATATATAATGGCGAAAATGCCGCTCGACGGTAATTAGCCGCTCTACACGGCGAGCCCAGGCGCGGCAAGTGCGCGCGAGAAGGTGACGACGCCTTTGGCTCCCGATCCCCGTCGCGCCGCTGTGATGTTGCCGCGATGTCCCTCACCTCGGGATCAAACAGATGGGCCTCGAGAGCGATCATTATATTACAGCTGGCGACCTGGAACGCCGTCGGCATCGTTCTCCTTCACCGCGGCGTCAGCACGCTGCGCAGGAGGGTCCTGGAGACCAGCTACGTCGCCGAGGTAATCGCTCGAGAGATACCGGCCTTCGTTATGTAAATAACCGTTACGCGCGCAACAACATTTGTATCCACAATGATTATCGTTGAAACTTCACTTACGTGTATTGGCCCATTATCGTTATTCGCGTTCGTTATGTTAATTGTGCGCGCGCGTGTAGAATTTATAATTTTCCCCGCCGCTCGTAATTACACGGAAAAAACAATGTAGCTGCTGTAGCTAAAACTTAGCAAAATAGGGACAGCTTAATATTTTAGTTGTGATAGCTCAATATTTTGCTACTGTGCCTATTGTATTAGGTGCGACAGCAAACGGTTTGCTGTCGTAGCAAAATATTGAGCTATCACAACTAAAAATATTAGCTGTCCCTATTTTGCTAAGTTTTAGCTACAGCAGCTACATTGTTCTTTCCGTGTACTCCAACTGCTTGAAGAGTTAAAAGAACGGAGAGTTACGTCCGGAAAAGAAAGATAACATTTAGCGACAGAAACTGTTTTATACGACAAGCTTACGGACTAGACTACCCAGTGAGAAATGATTCGTCGGTCGGCGTCGAAACGACGTCGAATCGACATCGACACCGTCGAATTGACGTCGATTCGACGAATCATTTCTCACTGGGTACCCGAGGAAAATGAAAAGCCAAGATGGTGTCAATTTGACGCCACATTGGCCAAATTTGTGTCACATTTTGGTCAACATGACATCAACTTGTCGTCCCGACTTTTCATTTTTCCTTGGGTGCGATACACCGAAGGAACACGCAGTCAAAGTGCGTTCTGCTAAAACAACGATATCCCAGGTAGAAC